TAAACCAACCATTTGCAGATTAGTTAAATCTCAAGCGGAATTTAAAAACAAAAAGCCTCTAGCTAGAAGGCATTCCAATGAATACAAGCAGTTTGCGCTTACCTTGTATTTTTTAGGACCTAGGGCATATTCCTTTGTCTAAAATTTTGTGCCTTTTGATGTGTAGGTATTTTTCATATTGATATTTTTATTAATCTGATTTTTGTAATATGTGTTTTTCGTATTTTGGTTTATTAAAATGAATAGTCAGTATGGGTACGTGTTTTATTTATAACAACCTTTTTCCTACCGTACTTTTCTTCAAATCTCAATTTAATTCATAGTTCTAATAATTATGCATCTAAAAATGCAAATTTATGTATACAACAAATTCATATGATTTATAAACAAATCCTAAGTCGTCTGGATTTATGAAATACAGCTACGAGGATGTGCCATAATTTAAGTTTTCCAAAATAAAGTCCTAAGATGTATCATTGATGCACCCTGGCTCTATCTAAATGATTATCTTCATACAGACAAATAAGAAAAAGAGGTTACTGCAAAACATGAGGGTCGACTCCACTCCAACGTTAATGAAGTGCTGCAATTACTGGACATCTTTGCACAAAAGACTCAAAAGAAAAGCCATTTGAGCTAGTGCTAGTGTAAAACAGTGTAATAAATCGATACGCCAATTATTGGTGATCTTTTCTACCAACGACTACTAGATTAATTTTGTTTACAAAAATGGAATTGTAAAAAATCACAGATTTATCCACCGAGTTGTCAAATTATTATAAGAGTGGCGAAAGTCTTAATACAAGGATTGTTTATGGTATTATTGACATATGATAAGGTTCTAAAACACATAAAAGGCTTTCAAAATGACAGTTCAGAAGTATTTGCATTTTTAATGCCAGTTATTATCAGTTTAATCTATTTTTCTAGATCCAACTATCATAGTTGAAGGTGTTTTTCAGGAAAGTATACAATTAATTAATACATCAATAATTTGTAATATAATCCCTCTGTTAAAGAGTTAATGTTATCTAAAAAAAACTGATGAATTAAGTACAACGAGCATTCGGTCTGGTTCCTCAAGTAAAAACTCTTTTTTAATATAGCGATCAGTACAATTTACTTCAAAATAAATTATTGTGAAGCCTTATTTTTTCTAATTATATCACTAACCTTCAATTCAGAGAAGAAATAGTGGATGTTGATAAATAAGTTTGTTACATATGTTTAAATCCTTTTCTCAGTGTATTATCCGAATTTATAAGAATCTTGGTAATTTTTACCAGTGTAACAACCGGCAAGAACGCCGCCTGTCAGCGAGTGTCACTTTAAAATTGCCACCCCGACATCAAACGTGCCGACGCAAGCCTTCATTTCTGTAATAGTGGTTATTCTGTGGCATGACTTTGATTAATACACAACTTAGCACGCTGAGAAAACATGCTTATTTTCTACACTGAGCGGAATAGTTTGGCAAATTATCTAAAATCATTGTTATAGTCCATGCGCAAATGTTGTAATGTGATTTAATTACATTGAAGTAGTTAGGATTAATAGCAATGGTGAAATATCGGCACCAAAATATAATACATTATGTAATAATTCATTATTTGTTTATTATTTTATAATTTATCTATAAAATTTGTTCAATTTTTGGTTTATTTATTGTTAAAAATGTAATGTATAAATACCTGGCCTCGCTATCACCCAGACAATACAAATATGTCCATTGGACGTCCATTCGATATACAATTTTGTATGTCTAGACGTCTAAAAATGAGTTTTTTCTGGACTTCCGACATCCAATGGACGTTCAGTGAAGTATACAAATGGCACACTTTTGACCATTCAGAGGACTTCCAATTCTGGAATATATTTGGACGTCGAATACTGGACATTCAAAAAACGTCCAGGATTATATTTCCATTGAGACCACATCCCCACTTTTTTTACAGAACCGCAACTTACCACACACTATTTTATATTATTAATAATTGGTTTATTATTTTCGCAAACCGCTATACACCATTTATTTTTTTTTTATTAAAAATCGCTTGACCTGAGCAGGAATCGAACTCACGACACATCCATTATCGTTTTACGCTTTTAATCGCTAGACGAGCTCGACCAAGGAACCACTTGAAAACTTTTTACTAGATACAGTTATAATTGAATAAGATTTCAAACTTCCACTGATAGAATGAAATGCAATAGATTCAATTTGTCAATTTTTAATGACCAGTTATATTAAAAAAAAGAAGTACATATAGATGGGTATATTATCTGATAGGCTTAATAAATAATGACCTAAGATGGACGTCCACTGGACGTCAAAATACTACTAAACTTAAAATTTAAAATTAAATCCAATAACAGACGTTCTCTGGGTAACGATATTCAGCTGTCAATTTAATTAGCATAAACGGACGTACACTGGATGCCCGGATATGGACGTCCTGACCCTCAAATAGATCTAAAGTGGACGTACATTGGACTATGTGTGCTGTCTGGGCATAGACGAATTTTTAGAAATAGTACTTATTTAAGTATGCACCAATATTTCCAAAATCAACTCCAGTATGATTCATTCAATAAATGTAAATAAGAATGGGCAAAACATCTTTATATTGACATAATTGTAACTTACAATTTAGCCATAATAAAGGGATTTCGCCCACTTTGACCAATCCTAATTGAAACACGCGGATTTATTATATTTTTTAAAATATAATTTCAAAATAAAATAAACAAAATCTGCAGTTTATTGTTTATTAAATTTATTTAAAAGAAGAAAAACATATATTTCACAAAATACAATAACTACATATGAAAAATAAAATGTCAATAATGATTAAATCATTATACTTATTATTTATGCATGTGATAAAATTCTTAGTTTCCTAATAACTTTTTTGGCACATTTTATATCTGTATTAGAATACCTAAGTGTGTAAAAATCTTCATCTTATTACTACACAAAACAAACACCAAAAAATATCACTTAACATTGCTCACGTACTAAACACAACTTGGACTGACTTTGACAGATAACATCATTTTGAGTGATACAGAGTGATACCCAACTTATTTTCGCACATGCGCGTTACAAAACGGTACACTAAAAACACCAAGCTGTCGCTTCTCCTTGATCGGTATTCTCGGGTTTATGTTTTGACGAGCTTTCATTTCGTCAATGACATTTTATTTTGTTGTGAAGATGGCACTTCAGAATGTTTCAGAGCGACACATTTTACACAGTATGTTCCTTGCCAATGTCATGGAACCTAAAAGTCCGATGGCATTGGGAAGGCGGCTTTAGTTTTTATTTCCTTAAAAGGGGGCGAGAAAACTAGGGAAACAAAAGTGGGCCAGAAGAACAAATATAAAAAGCGGTCCTACAAAAATACCAAGAAAAACATGACGTTAAAAAAAATCGAAACATTATTTTTTGATTTTTATTTAACAACCTTGTTGAATTCATTTTAAAATAAACCTAAGGAAAAACTAAAACAAATTGTCTTTTATAGGGAACTAGCTACGGCCTCTATAAGCTATACCGAGCGAGGCGGAGGAGGGTGCAAAGGGATGAAAGGGTAAAAAAGGTTCTGGACACTTACAAAAAAGAAATATTAACTTTGCAAATCAGATGCTGCACCTGATGAATATCACCAATATTATCACAATCTACCTGTATTCAATAATGTTAGGTACCGTTCCTGAATCTTCCATTAAAGATAGTATCACATACATTGAATATTATGACCTGTATGTATGATTTTTTGTTTAATTTTAAACTGTTGAACAGCGTTTTCTCGAAACTCTAAAAATGTGAGTTATCTTGTTTTTGCAGTAACCCGACAGGATATATTGTTTAGTATTTTTTTTATTAGAGGTCCCCACTAAATAATTTTAAGTGAATGGCCTAAAAAAAGAGTCATCTTCTAAAAATATTGCGGCCCGTGTAACATAGCAAACGTACGAATGTGGCCAAAGGAAAAAAAGGTCTAAAATCTAAATTTTAATACCCCTTATCTGCAATCCAAAATTTTCTTTTGTGCACCATTCGGTTATACGTTTACTCCGTCATGAGTTGAAATACATTGTATTGGCGCGATAAATTTAACGATTCTAATAATCCGTATTCCAATCATATTTAGCATTTATAAACTAAAAATAGGCTCTTTTGTAAAATACTGATCCATACAGTAACGGGGTATTATAATAGTCTCATCGATATGAAGATTTAGAATATTTGAATGCGAGGATTTTTCTCTTTCCACTGAGTCTATCTAGAAGGCGATGATATTTTTGCAACAAATTTTATGTGACATCAATATCTAGTCTATACAATGAATATCAACTTTTCTTAAATGACGGAATTAATTGAAAAAAAAATTGAAAAATACACTCTTATTATTATGTAACATTCTTTGCTTCATTCTACGTAAAGTTTTGTGATGGAGACTTTGTCATAATTTTATATTTTCAACATTAATTTTCTGTTATGATTGCACCAAATTTAAAAACCTTTATATTGCTGAAGACTTTAAGTCTGTCTGTAAGTCTGTCTGTCTTCCAAACAAGGTGCCACACGACCTCCTTTCTTATTTAAAATTTTCGAGGGGGTGCACATAATTCAGAGTGGTTTCAAGACGGGGGTAATATTTGCATACCATAAATTGTCAAATTAAGAATAGAAATCGACCTGTTTCAGGTTTTCTTTCCAAAAGTACATAATAATGCTAAAAATGAATTTATTCCATACATATGTTATATATCTTTAATCTATTAATTGCTATATATGTCACTATACCTAATAATTAACAAAAACTAGAACGGCATATTTTGTCTTTTTTTTAGACATGAGCTATTTAAAAGTCATCGACCACCCTATTCCCAAAAAAAATTATTCTATTTTTTAAAAACTAAATGTATATTGCAAATAACGAAATGTGTTTACGTTAGATTTGAAAGATTACGAGAAGTACTTTTTACTTTACCTGTATTTATGAATCCCTTGGCCATTGCTTGGGCCATTTTGCCACCACCGATAAACCCAATTTTAATTAATTTACTAGTCATTTTTGCTATTGTTAAAACACTGTAAAAATATTGTGCACAACATAAGAGTTAAGAACGTACTGCGGCATAGGATAAAGTCTCCTTGTAGAAATATATCTCATCTGGAGCTAATTGATCATTTTTGTAATGATTATCAATTAACTGGAGTATTTCCAATCACAAATATTTATGTATATTATTTACGTTATCGGTTAATGCCGTTATCAGTTAGTACCCCGACCAGGCACGTCAATAAAGAGTTTGTACCTAATTGCATATTGTGGTATCTTAAAATGGTCCTGCCTTCAAAAACAATGTAAAGTTATCTTCATAAACAATTGAGTTGGTAGTAAGTTAGCTCTAGTAACGCAGGCGCAGAGCACTTTCTAAATTTGTAAAAATAAATGTATTTATAAAATATATACAAGTTCATTGATAACAAATATTTATATCTGTACTGCCGACTTTTTAACCTTTGCAATGATATATCAAAACATTATTAGAGATTAATGATTACCTAATATATTTTATTAATACAAATATCTATGTGCTTGGCAAATATTGTAAATACCTACCTCTATTTTAATTTTAAATTTTTATAAATTTATACGTTTCTCAGTGTAAAATATAAACAATTTAAATTCAATTAGAACAATGGATTTATTTAGTCTTTCTTTGGTAATACATTTTAATTTAAAATTTTCCATGAATATATAATCAGGCAAATATTATAATTTAGCAGATAATAGCGAAACCGAATGCCATTTAATTGGGTTTATTTTTAAAACAGAAGGTATTGAAAACTTAAATATAGATAAGGCGATAATTATTAAAACTTTGTAGATATTTTTATTTCATCAGAGGAGTTTTTTACGCAAGAAGTATTTAGGAAAAACATTTTGTTTTCAATCTTTTAGCTACCTGTATTTTCAAAATAAAGCCGTTTAGGGACTTTGTTTTCAATCCCTGTATCTTCAAAATAAAGCCGTTTAGGAACTACTTTTAAATAAGTACCAAGCCACATAATTAATAATCCCTGAATGGGATTTTTGGGTTTCTGGTAATAGGTAGGCTTGCCATTTTTAAAACAGCTTGTACATATCACAAGAATAGTTATTATTTATTCTTGTGTACATATTATTTCTATTTTAAAAACAATGACAAGCAGAGGGCATCTCGACTCTACGACTAAATCATATTGATTAGGAACCATAAAAAAATCTTTATTTTTAACAGTTATAAAGATAATATTACAATTATATATTTATGAAGATAAGAAAATGTATAAATTGATGTTTTACTTATATTTTCAGGTAGTGTTGTATTTACCTTTAAGTGCGATGAGCGACAAGTAAGTTAGTTTTGCGTGTATTTATATGTACCTAGATACGGAAATTTAAACGTGGACCATCTAAGTCAGTTCTAGGTGGAAGTTAATTTATCTATGGTGGAATTCGTGTGTCATAGCATAGCGGAGAAAAACTTGGAAGTAAAGTCGCTTAATTAAAAAAAAAAAAAAAAAAAAAAACCGGCGTAGAACCAAACAAGACTTAGTGCAATTCTTTAGTAAAATAATCGGGTACACGAAATCATTTTTGACGACATTTTTTGGTGGAACTTTTTTATTTCGAGAAAACTTAAAAAAAAATCGATTTTTTTAAGTTTTTTAACGTCTCCACCGCTATATCTCGGAAAATAATCGTGATATCGAGGTAATTTTTTTACATATTAAAGTAGACACAATAGCGCTTTGAACAATACCCCACTTAAATTCCAAAAAAATTGTTAATTTGTTAAAATAAGAGCAAACTCAAACTTGTATATTTTCAGTAACGTAATTTTAAGCAATCGAGAAAAAAGTTTATTTCTAAAAATGTGTACATATATGCTGCGAACAAATTGAAGCCAATAGTCAAAAAAAGTTTTTAGAATGAAAACTTTTATGTGTCGGTTATAGTATCGAGTCAGCGATTTTTCTTAAACGGGCCAAAATCATATTTTTGCGTGATCGGCTCCGTCCTGCGACCGGCGGACGGTCCCTATCGGTCGGAAGTCGGAACGTTCTTAGTTCTGATAATGTGTAGGAGTCGGACTTATTTCAATAGCTCTAAAACAGGTAGGGATGTAAAGCAGGTGCAAAGGTAAAAAATATAAAAAGACATCCAAAAAATAGGTAGTCTTGTTAGAAAAATCGCCGAGACACGTCGATTTTTGATTTCTACAATGTACATTTTTGTATGAATAGTTTACCCTTAATTTCATCCCTTACTGGAGGGGAGCAATCCTTTCGAAAAATTTAAACAGCATGGGGTGATTAGTGATAGTTCATTTGAAAGGGGGTTTTATTCTCTATTCCACCGTGCAAAAATTTTGTAATTTGCTTTATTACGTGTTGATTTATTAATGTTTAAAAATAACAAAACATCACAAACAGGAAAGCAACTAAACTAACAGTGACCTTAACTAATGGCAAAAAGTCTTACATCACGTCTGAACCAAATCTGATATCATGCAGGGCCGAATTTTAATTCTAAGGATGAGTGCACTACGTTAATTTCCGTTATTTTAAAACAATAATTAGTCGAGAATTAATAAAGCAAATTTCAAAAAAAATTTGCACGGTTGAATAGAGAATAAAACCCCCTTTCAAATGAGCTATCACTCACCACCCCATGCCATTTAAATTTTTCGAAAGGGTTGCTCCCCTTCAGTAAGGGATTAAATTAAGGGTAAATTATTCATACAAAAATGTACACAGTAAAAATCAAAAATCGACGTGTCTCGGCGATTTTCCTAACAAGATTCCAGTAACGAGTTAGATAGAGGGGGTAAGACTTATGATTCTCACTGTATAAATATCAATCAGTGTTATAAACTAACACCCTATACTTACCTAATTTGTAGTATATTATACATTTTGAATTGAATTAAACTAAAAATGTAAACATAAAGTAAGGTATATCGTTGAAATATTTATTATTTAGAGCACTCTAATTCGTCATCTTCTGGATCTAAGTCGAAATCTTTGATACTGTTGTTTCAGGAACGACATTTACACTCGTTACAACATTTTAGACCTTCTTTAACACAAGTGCATTTTCGATTGTCACAGATGACTTTCAAAATCTCCATTTCTTTTAGCACTTAGCATTCTCCAAAGTAAATCGATTGTATCCAAAAAATGTACCAATATTTAAATGTTTTTGATGAACCGCAACCCAAGTTTACAAATTCTGCTACAACTTTGTTATGATCTTCAAGAAAGTAGAAAAGATCTTCTAAATTACCTGCTTCGTCAATTTTTGATTTTATTACTCTGCCAGTTTTTTTCAGCTCGTCAGTAAAAAAAAATTTTTCCTTATTTTCTTCGTACCATTTATTTAGCGACTTGTAAAATAATTAAGACACTGCATCGGCTGCTAATGTTGTAAGGCTTCGAATAGCGCGATAATACTGCTTTCCATCGAGCATCAGTCGACAAGAATTTTCTGAATAAATATCTGTTTCGACAAGAATCGAAGTTAGTCCACCATCAGCAAAAATATAACCTATACTTGCAATAAATGCCATTGTTAGGTGCATCATACCAAGTTGCAAAGTCACTGTAAAAATTGTGTCAAATTCTGTTAGGAAGCATTTAAAAAGGGAAGGTATGTAATTGATGAAACTAGAATATTATTTTTAGACATAATATTTTGAACATTACTTCATCCCAGAAAAGAATACTCATTCTAGAGGAATTTCAACAATCACCAAAATAAATTCACCTTTTTCGAGCTAGTTGAATTTTCCCGAGATATTGTTGGTAACTTTAATTCAGAAACTACAGGACGGGATTTAGGCTTATTATATTTTTCAAGTCGCTGCAGACTTATGTCCGTTTCTTCTATGCTTAAAGCGAATTTACCTCCTTTAATCGGGTCCCTAATTGGTTGTATAGACTGTTTTTCTTGAAACACAACCATGGCCATAGCATTTGTTGTTCCTTTTCCATCAATGGTTTTCTCGTTAAGGTTAAAATTATCAATATTTGCACGAATGTAATTTTTTTTCTCAAGTGAAACCTTCGCCAAACATTTAGGTACATATATTATATCTTCTTTATCATCGGTTTATTGTTTTACCTCAACAAATAGCTTTGCATCTATAAGCCTTGACACGAACAGGAGTAAAATATTTGGAACGTCATTCTGAAACATCATTTTATTAATATCATCTGGTGTGGGAAATCCAGTTTTTGGTTGAAATGAAGCCATTGCACTACGTAATATGGCAACAGCTCTTAATAAAATTAGAATTTTGGACATTTCTTTAAGAAGTAAAATATCTTTCTGAACATCAGTATTATTACTGTGAATACTTGCTGAGGAGTTGAACATTGTCGAATTATTTTCGAGTGAGTTTGTGATAATATTGGGAACATTTTTCCTATTTTTATGGAAATTTATGTTTCTCGGAGATATATAGTGGCTGTAACATAATTTATGCATCGAACGCAAATAAATCTTCATAGCCATCTAATTTAGAAATCATATCTATGTCATTTCTATTTTTGGCAGCTTTAATAATTTTTTGATAAGTAGCTTTTTCACTACCGAAAAATATATGTAAAAAGAAGAAACTAAATAAAATTTAAATTACCTGTTTGAACCGATATCAGACTTTTCCTCTTTTTTGTTCTACTTTTGTTGCAAATAAGGCACAGTTTTCTAATATTAAAACTATCGCATTTCAATCGAGTACCAAAATAATTTGAAGTGCCGGTGGCAGCACTGTCTGATTGCAAATAACGATCAATGTTATTAGAACTTGTGTAAGATTTACGACAGATTGGGGTATATTCTGTAACAATTCCTCTATATTTAACGGCCTTTAAAAATATGTTCGTATTCGTTAATTTACTTCTGTCATTATTTAAACAGATTTCTTTAAGATAGTCCTCTAATGTATTTTAAAGATCCGTTTAAATAATGACAGAAGTAAAGAAGAAAATATTTTTAAAGGCCGTTAAATATAAAGGAATTGTTACAGAATAGACCCCTCTATATGATATTTTATTTTAATTTAGCCGTTTAAAATACAATTTTTTTCGGACAGAATTTCTTTAGCAACATTGTCTTGTCTTCTTTCAGCACTTGATATTAATGCTAACAAACCTTGTATTCTAGGCCTTTGTATCACAGATTTGTCACCTCATGCACAATCTTCTTACAAATAATACACTCAATTGTCTAACAAAAACGAAATAATTGCACACAGCAAACAATATACAATGTCAATCGCCTCTACTTAGACTACGAGTCCTATCCTGCTTGCGGGCTACAAAAAAATCGCTGTAACCAAACGATACACTTTAGGAAAAAAGTAATGGTTTTAAAAACTTTTATGATGCTTAGGCTTTATTTTCTTTGCTGCATGTATACAAAAATTATCAAAAATAAAAAAGTTTGCCAATTGGTGAAAATTTTATTACATAAAATATACATTTTTATTTTATTTAATTTTTAGATGAATAAAAGTGGGAATTGTGTCCAAGCCGCTTATACTGCTAAAAGCGCTACAATGTATGCTTTAATTTGACATAAAATAAAAACAATTTTAGTATCTTTATTAGTTTTAAAGATATCACGATGGAAACAAAAAAAATATATATTATTTTTTAATACAATTAATTAACTTTTTTTATTTACAAAATTTGAGACCACAAAAAATGTCGTCAAATGCGATTTCATATGCCTAGTGACATGCTTAAAGAAACTTACCATGTTTGACTTGGTTCTACGCCAGAAAAAAAAAACGACACGATATACTCATGAAATCGCTGCTCTATCAAGCGCTCCGTGCTGAACAATATCCTTTCTTTGTTCCGCGTATGGTCCTTTTATACCTTGTTCAATTCATTGTAAAATAGATGTTCGCGTTTAGATTTCCGTACCTCTATAGAAAATTAATTCATTTTCGACACCAAATTAATAATTTGAAGAGAAAATCCTTGTCAATTTCTAATTTTAAATCTAAAATTATTGACGTAATAACTTTACCCCTCAGGTCACCCATCTCTGTGTTACATATTGATTATTAGTTATTAATGTTAAATATTTAAAAGACATACGTAGAGGGTGTGACATCTAAATTCAATATACAATGTGTTCCATAAAGTTGGATCCATATGGGAATTTTTTTAATATTACGATTGGCAAAAAACGTAGTAGACATTCACCTCTGTTTTTTTAAAAACAAAAGTAGTCCATATAGTTTTAGAACCAACGTGCAGGTTTGTGATTTATTTTGTTATGGCTGAATTTATTATTAAATTGTACTTATGATACGTGTCCAACAAATTCACGAAAGCGCGACGTTCAGGCTGGGGAGCTTTTGTAGCTATAGGAATTACAAGTGGTACGTGCCTCTCAAAAAATTGACTTATTATGTTAACATTTTCGTTATGCTCATTCGACAATAAGTGTTCACCTACAAAAAATATTAAATTTTTTGTAATGTTTTTCACCAAATTCACCTCCTCCACCAATTTCGCTGGGATATGTTTTCTCTCCAACGTTTTAATGTTTTAATGTGATGCGTAAGTAGGAATACGCGTGACTTATTTTCCAAACTGAATGCTTCTACCAAAGTAAGATAAACATGATATCATTTCACTGAATTAGTATCCAATAAGAATATTGGTCCGTTTTTAGTGTCTAAAGAAAATAAAAAATTAAAAAAACAAATATATAATGGTCTTATATAAACGCAGTAACATGACAAAGTATTTTTGACCAGGTTTTGAGATCGTTGACGAATTCGATCACAGAATTTAACAATCTTTGCTAGCCATTTTAAAGGTCTAAATTGTACCCAGCTAGCACAAAAACATCCCATCTACGTTAATAAGCTGCAATTTTAGGCTCTTTAAGCTCGCATGCAATGTACTTTTAATGCAACCCTAATATCCCTGCAACCGCCGAATGTCCGCAACGTCTAAACTTTTATAGCATATTCCACAGAGGTTACAAAGTGAAGTTCGGAAAACATCACACTAGCACTTTTACGGTACTTACCCCGAAAGTTGCTCTGAAACGTTCTATAGGTGTTATAATGTGAAATATTTCTACCGCATTACATTATACGGATGGACTTAACTATACTTGTGAAAATATTTATTTTAAATTAAAAAAAATAATTCTTCATAATTACTTTTGCTTGTTAAATAGATTCGATTCATATTGAGAAATTATGCAAAATAACTTTTTTTAATTTAAAATAAATATTTTTACAAGTATAATAAGTCCATCCGGGACTCGGAATCGATAGTCATGGCGGGCGGTCATTCGACCGATCCTCCAGATAAATGTCGATTTTGTGCTAATTTTATCTCAGCAAGTGATACACATGCCAAAGAAGGCAGCAAAGCACCTCGGGAATTTTGAGTTGAAACATATGCCACATTTTTAGGCTATTTTTAGGCTCCTAAAGTATTATAAAATTTTACCAAAAAAAATTGCCATTTTAAAATAATACAGGGTGCTTTATTGGAGCAAAACTTTTTTTCTAAAAACAAATACACCACCTTTTTAGGCTATTTTTGGGCTCTTGAAATATTATAAAATTTACTAAAAAAATTACATTTCTAAATAATACAGGAAGCTTTATTGGAAAAATATGATTTTGCTCAACCTTTATTTTTGACCAACCTCGTATAAAACTAATAAAATTTGATATCAGATGGTTGCTTCTTAGGTTTTTGATCATGAGCAACTTTTTATAAGAAATACATTTTTTTCCTAAACAGGAACAATAAAAAAGCTTTCCATAAGCCGTCAACTGTCTATGTTAGGTTAGCGGCATATGAAAAACTTTTTTATTTAATTATTTTTGGAAAAAGTAATTTTAAATAAAAAGAGCCTAAAAATAGCTTAAAAATATGGTGTAGTTGTTTTTAGAAAAAAGCTTTAAAAAACCGAGGTGCTCTGCTGGATTCATTCGAAGCTAGCAAAGCACCCTGTATTTTTTAAAAATAACAACATTTTTCGAAAAGTTTTATATTTTAACAGCCTAAAAATAGCCTAAAAATATGGTGTCGTTGGTTTTGGAAAAAAGCTTTAAAAAACCGAGGTGCTCTGCTAGATTCCTTCGAAGCTAGCAAAGCACCCTATATATTTTTAAAATAACAAAATTTTTCGAAAAGTTTTATAATATTTTAAGAGCCTAAAAATATGGTGTTGTTGGTTTTGGAAAAAAGCTTTAAAAAACTGAGGTGCTCTGCTGACTTCGTTCGAAGCTAGCAGAGCCCTTAATTTTTGCAAAAAACGAGGAGCATAAAATTTTTGAATAGGGTATAAAAATAGCCTTAAAATAGCCTAAAAATGTGACATATGTTTCAACTCAAAATTCCCGAGGTGCTTTGCTGCCTTCTTTGGCATACATTTGAGAAAGGTTCGGTTCAGCTCGAAGGATTACTATGCGCTAAATGAACACATTTGTTTAGCTGTAATGGAATTGATTGCATCACTTTTTTGCAGTTTGACAACTATGTTTTCTAAGTCTAAACATCGGCGGTGTTTTTGTGAATTATATATAGATATATTAATAATACTGATATTTAATTGTGGAATAGTAAAATTTATCTGTGTCGTCGACTATACCTAAACGCCCCAGTCTAAACGTCGTGCGTCGCGCTTTCGTGAATTCGTTGGACACGTATCATAGCATAATTTAATAATATATTCAGCCATAAGAAAATAAGTCAAAAATTTGCACGTTGGATTTAGGACTAATACCAAAGTTGGATAGTTACTGCATTAGTTATTTATCAAATTCGGTATTTTTTTGAAAAATCGTTACACAATTATTTTTTTAAAATGCGAATTTGACAGAAAACTAATGTCAGTAGCCAACTTTGACATGGGCTATGTTAAATTTTTAAATAAGCAAAGGTGATTACCATACTACGTTTTTTTCCAATCGTAATATTAAAAAAAAGTATGGATCAAACTGTATAGCACACACTATATATAACATGAATAACTAAAACTACCACTCTCAAATTTTTAAATAAATATCTGTCCAACACATGACTTTTCTGTAAAGCAATGCAATATATTGAGTATGGTCCATTTAATCAAAAAGTATTTAGGAAAAGAATTAAAGATAAAAATTTTCCACACCCATTTAATTCGAATTTATATCTTCATTGCCGAAACTGCTAAATTTTTAAAAATACAAACCGTCTAAATAATTAATAATAAAAAATTTGCTTAATTGGAGTGGCATTTTAGGGGATCACAACCTTCCTAAATTTTTTACGAGGTGAACTGAGTGAATTTAGATAATTTATACATAGAAAAAGAGAGCCTAAAAATTTCTCTAAAAAAATTATTTTTAATAAATAATTTTTAGGCTATTATTTTTTTACCGCATGTACCTTGCTGTAATCAAACTTAATAAATTGCTGAAAAACTACTTCTAAATAATAAGATGCAGCAGTAGTTTACACATTTCGGAACAATTTTGTACTTTAACTGATAAAAAAATGGTTAATGTAGTTACTTAAAAACTAGCAAGGGATATTTCTGAAAAAATGATTTTTTTATTTAGTTTTGATTTGTTTAAATTGTCTAAATATACGTTTCACGTTTAAAGTATATGAGTCAAGTTATGAACATAATATTGCTTTTTTACAGGAAAGAAGACGAATTGTCATTTCCAAGTAATTTTCTTTTTGGTGTAGCGTCAAGTGCTTATCAAATTGAAGGAGGATACAATGCTGACGGTAACTTACTTTCCTCATATGTAATATCAGTATCTTCCAAATCCAAATGCATCTTTATACAAATGTTTGGTATCTGTTAGACTCAATGTATAATAATAATAATAATAATACTCTCCCTAGAAAAAACTTAAATATTATAAGAACTCTTTAATGTCATCGTAGCAATTATTGAGCTTTTCTGATACTTAGTGTATTTTACCAGAATGTTAGAGGATTAAACACCAAATTTGTAAAACTTGTTCAATAATTCCGTCGAATGTAACCACGACCTATTAGCACTGTCAGAAACTTGGTTGAGTTCTTTTGTATACGACTCTGAATTATTTTTTGAAAATTATGTAGTATTTCGTTCTGACAGAAATTTTAATATTACCAATACTACTAACGGGGAAAGTGTGTATAATTGCTTTAAAAGAAAGAATACAATGCATTAAGACTAAATCTTTCTGAACTGACTACTTCTACTCCTTATTCTATTGACGTACTTGGTTTAAAAATTTCAGTCTCAAATAGCAATCTGCATGTAATATTACTTAATATTCCTCCTTCTACTAGTAATGATATATATGATATCTTGTATGATGTTTTATGCAATTACGAGTGGTGCAAAAATTATGAAGAACTGTTAATCTTAGAGGGATTTTAATATACCACATTATCATTCTAGTCGTAATGACATTACTTTGAAAAATGCTAGTATAGTTGCACTTGATAATTTTACCGAATTATTAGCTTTAGGACAATATAATAATACTCCCAATTTTAATAACCGTTTACTCGATTTAATCTTTAGTAGATGTGACATCGCTGTAAATCGTTCACTTGATCCATTAATTGACGAAGATATTTTACATCCTTCATTAGAATTTCGGTTGTCTTTTTCTCAAATAAATACCAGTTTTGCTATGTCTAGTAAATTATCTTATAATTTCAAAAAGGCAAATTTTCCTCAACTCTACTAGAGTATCTGTAGAATTAATTGGAATAGTTTGAATGCATGAGCAACTTCTGAGGAGACTTGTGATTTGTTTTATTCTATCTTAAATTCCGCAATTGCCGCTAATGTACCAAAAACTGCACCAAGTTGCAACACAAAATACCCTCCTTGGTTTAATAGAAGTACAATCTCGGATTTGAGGAAAAAATCATCTCTTTATCGTTTGTATAAAAGGGCACTAGAGGCTGAAATTTATACCGAGTTTAGTATTCATAGGTCAAAAATTAAACGCGACATTTCAATAAATTACGGGAATTATCTGACAAATATTGAGAATAGAATATCTTCTAACCCCAATTATTTTTGGCAGTATATAAACTCAAGGAAAAACTGTAGTAGTATACCAAATGTTATGAGTTTTGATAATAATCCTTTAAACAATTTACAAGACATTGTCAATGCATTTGCTAGATATTTTCAGTCATCGTACACTAATTCGTCTAAAATGCCGTTAGCTATTTTTATACGAGGTGTTGATTAAGAAGTTGCAGTGACAGATGAATTACTGGCTTTACGGCCGCTACAAGGGACCACTACAGGAAAATATATTTTTGCCGAGGTGCAAAGCACTTTTGAGCAATATGGTTTGCAGTAGTGTAAATTAGTTGGAGTGTGCACGGATGGTGCACCTTCAATGGTCGCTTCACAAAAAGGTTTTATCGGAAATCTGAAGAAAAAAGCAACCGCTATGAACGTGCAAGAATGTGATTTAATAATTCTGTATTGCATTATTTACCAACAAAACTTGTGCTCTAAGTCCATTCGATTGAAGAATGTTATGGATGTGGTAGTAATTAATTTCATTAGATGCCGCGGTCTTTTTGGATGAACTTACTTTAGAACACGATGATGTGACATATTATTGCGAAGTAAGGTGGCTAAGCAAAGGTAAAAAGAAAAGCTGATTTTATGGAAATGAAAGAGAAAACACAGCCGCAAATTTGAGATCAAACTTGGCTTTGTGACTTGGCATTCCTAGTAGACATCACAGGACACTTAAACGACCTGAACTTACAGCTTCAAAAACAAGGGCAATTGATAACTCAGTCATTTTATAGCTTTTCAAAACAAAATTCGTTTGTGGGAAACACAAATGAGAAGTAAAAACTATTTTCATTTCTCAACATTATCCAGTCACGAAAACATTAAATACGGTCGTTGTGCTCAAGACTTGAAACTAGTGCCTAAACAATTTAATGATCGATTTTTCGATTTTAAGAATATATTTTTGCAAATTCTTGTAAGTGTAATGTGAAAGATACACCGCTTCATCTACAAATGGAGTTGATCAAGCTTCAAGAAGACTTATATTTGACGTCTAAATTTGATGATGTGGAACTAAGCTAATTTTATAGAACATACCTTTCCAAAGAAAAGTATCCACAGCTGAAAGTTTTCTCACGAAAAATAATTTAAACATTTGGAAGCACGTATAAATGTGAGCAGCATGAAAATTGATAAAAATAAGCATTATACTCGGCTTACAAATGTTAATTTAGCAAACACTTTGCACCTATGTACTAGTGATATTGACCCCAATATTGATCATCTTGTTTCTCAGCTTCAAACTCTTCTATCTCTTTTTATTGATTTGTTTTTTATATGTTTCATTGAGCATAATAATTATGCTATTATAATTAATAAATACGGCGCTCGACCTAATTAAGTCCCGAAATTACGCCCTCAGCTAAGCAAAGGTTGCCTATACCTGTCTTAAACGGTAATAGATAGAAAATTGGTTAAATTAGACAAAAGTTGCGCAGTTTTGTGCTCAATAAAATGTTGTCAAGAAATCTTTGATATCTACAGGAAGATTCAAAATATTGGACAATAAATAAAAATTGTCATTTCTTTAAATTCATTTTTCAGATATCTTGAATCTTCCTGTAGATATCAAAGGTTTCTTGGCACCATTTTAACGAGCACAAAACTGCGCAACTTATGTCTAATTTAACCTTTCTATCTGTTACCGTTTAAGAAATAGTAATACTGCCCCTATGAAATAGTAGGTATGTTAACTGTTCATTTATTACTCCAGGAAACTGTATACGAAACTAACTATTGACACAGTTATTGAATAGACCGAAATAGAGTATACTTTCTATATTGCCGCGTTTGAGAATCCACATCGGATGCATCTGAGATGTAAAAAATCTTTGATCACGTGATTCAGTATACGTAAATGTAATGGGACAGATGTGTCCGATGTGAATAAAAAAACGCTCGAGATGTAAAAAATGCATCCGATGTGGATTCTCAAACGTGGCATATATACCACTACCGGTAGATGTGGTAACTAGAGCTGTGGAAAACCGTATGTATTCGTTACTCAGTAACGGGTAGTCGGTCAGATACGAAATACGAATTGGTTACTGCATTTTAAATTTCGTTACTTCGTTACTCGAATCCGCATCGTCGCATATCGCACAAACAAATCGGTTTGGTGTGCAAGATGCGAAATGCGAGTGTGAGTCTGATGCGAATCGAGCTATCGACTATCAAGTCGCACGCCGACTGGGACTTATTTTGGTTTTATAGAATAGTATAATAGTTGTTTTTCTGTTGCAAGAATATAATATGTTTTTGTTTATTTAAGTTATGATTTTATGGAGTATTATTATTGTTTCTACTAGTGTGTTAGAAAAATATATATGTTTCTGTCTGACGATATTTTATTTTGCAAAACTTTACGTCATTGCTCATGCTCAGTGAACTACACGACTTTGTTACTAATTACAAATTCGCTACGTATTTAATTAACCAACGTTTCGATATCTAATCTCATCCGCACCCCCTGTTAGACAGTACCAACCTAACAACCGAACCAATGCGTACGTACGATTAGTTAGACACCAATTCCGCATCCGCATTAGACGTGTGCGAGGCCCATGCGCCGCATGTTCTGTAGATTCGCATCACAGTAACGAAAGTAACGAGTAACGAATATTTTTATACGGGTGGGGTAGTCAGATCTGAAGTAACGAATACATACGGGTATTGGTTTTCTCGTTACTTTTACAGCTCTAGTGGTAACCATGCATCTGTCCAATCACGGCAGGCAAATAGGCGAGTCCAGAGCTACTTTCTTAATTTTTCTGACGTCTAAATTTAAAAGTATCTTTATTTTGCTGGGCGAGCTGGTTATATGGAATGCTATGGCGTGCCATTTTGGTATTTAATAACATCGTTTAAAAAGCAAGAAAAAAAAATCTCTTTCCAAAATTTTAATTCCGTAATTATTCTGTTAAAAAATGTATTTCATAATTTTAATACGCGTATTTCCATTATGAAAAATGTAATAAAAATTGCCGATTTAAAATTATGAAATACATCAGTGGTTCTCAAACTTTTTTGGTTTCGGAACCTTTTTGAAAAGTGAAATATTTGACGGAGCCCTAAACACATTTCCGAAAAAATAGTCCTCCTTGCTCTAGCCTCTTGCCAGGTCCCTCCCGTGCCTTTGCGAAGCCCCTACAACAAAATTCTCAAAATCATATACGCCTTCCTCTTCTTGACTTCTAAAAAAAAAGTCTTAATACCAAAATCATATCATATCATGTACGCCTTCCTCTTCCTGACTTCTAAAAAAAAAATGTCCTCCAACCCAAACTCATGTACTCCTTCTAAAAAAATTAAAAGGTGTTCAAGCCAAGTCCCGTTGTAGTAGCGATAGGTACTGTTTTTTTTTTTGTTATTTTCTTCGCGGAGCACCCACGAAGGCTTTGCGGAGCCCCAGGGCTCCGCGGACCACACTTTGAGAAATGCTGAAATACATAATAGAAATTCATTAATTAAAATTATGAAATACATAATAGAAATTCTCAATTGTAGGTAACCCTTAGTATATAATGGAAATTGAATTTCTATTATATTATGTCTCATAATTTTAATTCTTGAATTTCAGTTATGTATTTCATAATTTTAATTCTTGAATTTCTATTATGTTTTGCATAATACGTGTATTAAAATTATGAAATACATATTTTAATTCTTTAACATAATAATTACGGAATCAAAATTTTTGAAGAAAAGATTAGTTTTTTAATTTAATCGACTTACCTTAAGGAAGATTAATTGTAATTTTCTGAGCTTGTCCGTAGATATGATTACATTGTAGTTTCCATGAAACCTACTCATCAGCACGTATTTTTTCTAGAGTAAACAAAATGCCCCATATTCACTGCTCCTATCGTATACCAAACCTGCATATCATTCCTATGAAGTGCGTGTTACGAAAATCACCTTATATCTGGGAACTAAATATGCATCCACATATATTAGGGTGGGATAGGAAATAATTATATCTACGGACAAGCTCAGAAAATTACAATTAATCTTCCTTAAGGTAAGTCGATTAATTTTTTAATTTTCCTTCGCTTGTCCTTGATATAATTACATTGTAGATGTTCAGAGTAAGAAAAGGTGATTTTCTGAATATTTGTTTATGTAAACATTATAAACGTAATTAATTAAACGAATATTTACATTTATAGCTAATTTTATAACTACTTACTAGCTAAAAAAATGAATGAGAATACTTGACAGACTTATGCCTAAGTTTTGTGATAAATCGGTCGTGTTCCTGCGCTGGTTTTGGCAAGCAACCTTCAATTTCGTTCTAGAGTTTTACCGTTAGCCGGAATTTTGTAATTATTAAAAAGTTCTTTTGCTGATCCACTGGTCATACCATTTGACAAATTAATTCTAACGAACAACGATTTCTTCATAAAGAGTAACATTGCAATCTGGTTGTATTTTCTATTTTTATATAATTTATATTGAAACCCAAAAAACCAGAAGAATCATCAAGAGTCGCTCTACTTTCTAATATGTTCTCTACGTCTATATTCTGCTTATTACCTCAAACAGTAGGACCAATAAAGACAAGATAATATTTTTTCGTCTTAATAAAATCGCAAATCGCTCGATTGCTTTTAAGTACCGCTCAGAACTTTGAGAGGAAAGATCCCACTTCATATAATTTTTATAAAACACACAAAAAATCGCATGTTTTTTTTTATTATTTTAAAAACATTTATTAGTCAAAGAAAACTAATAATTCTTTATTCTGAAAGGATAACACACATTCATCCCTGTATGAATCCATAGAAACAGAAAAATTATCAAGAATCGCTTGACTTCCTAATTATCTATATTTATGTAAGAATAGTAAACGTCTATTCTGCGTAATTCATAAAGTAGGAACATAAAAGATAAAGTTAAAAGAGTGATTCGTCTCAAGTGAAATCGCTCGATTTCCTCTTAGAAAATACCACCCGGTATTTTAAAATACATTATTTTGTATAGAAATACTGAAAAAATCGTATGATTTTTTTCAGTATTTAGAAGGGATAACACACGTTCTTCCCTGTATAAATGCAAATAAAAAACTAATATCATCAAGAAATGTCCGACTTCCTAACGATATATATTTATGCAAAAATAATGAAGGTCTAATCTGCTTAATCCAAACAGTACCCAGACAGCACACCAAATCCTTTGGATATCTACTGGACATCCCAATATCCATTGAATGTCCAGTCCATGGTGGATATCTATTTTATATCCATGAGATGTAATTTATAGACATGCAAATGTCCATAAATAATAGTAATTATATAGCAAATTATTAAAAAATTACGCCATTGTGGCTAATGGTACCGTTCAGATATTTAAAATTAATTTTTTTAAGGTGTATTCAATATCCCATGGACATCCACTAAATATACCAAAGTCTAGGCGCGAACGCAAACCATGGTGGATATCCACTAGATGTAATTTTTGATTTTGCTTACTAAGTATAGATTGCGATACCACTTTCGTTCATTGAATATCTACTCATGCTCAATCCGCCGTAACTGAGTTCGATCGAAATTGGTATCGCAATCAGACTCCGTTAGAGACTGGAGTCGAGTATTTCCATTTATTGCTGAAGACTCCTAATAAGGATGATTTTCTCCTTAGTGGGCAAAATCAAAGTCAGAGTGTTGAAAATATTTTTTATCTCTGCTATTTTCTTTTGACGTTATTCAATAATCATTGGTTACTTATGAACCTCTACTAAAGATACCCATAAAATATTTTGCTGAATATCTTCTATATCCTAGGATATAGACGGACATTTGGATATCCACTGGATATATTGGATATCCACAAAATATATTCTGTGGATATCTCTGGGATTTCTTGTATTGTCTGGAAGATACCCATTAGATATTTTGCTGGATATCCATAGGATATCTTCTATATTTTGGATATAGACGGACATTTGGATATCCATATTAGATCCACGGGATATTTCAGATATCCTGTGGATATATTGGATATCCACAAAAGATATTCTGTGGATATCTCTGGGATTTGGTGTGTTGTCTGGGTAGGGTTAAGAAAAAGTTAAATAAGTATTTCGTCTCAATGAAATCGCTCGATTTCCTCTTAGAAAATACCGCCCGGTATTTCAAAAGATATTATTTTTACATAGAATTAAAACAAAAATATTTAGAAGCGATAACACACATTCTTATCTGAATAAGTCCATAAAAACAGAAAAATCATCAAGAATATCTCGACTGCCTAATGATCTATATTTGTACAAGTATAGCGAATGTCTATTCTATTAATTTAAACAGTAGGGTTATGATAAGGTTAAATGAGTATTTCACCTCAATGAAATCGCTCGATTTCCTCTTAGAAATACCGCCCGGTATTTTAAAAGATATTATTTTTACATAGAATTAGTACAAAAGTATTTAGAAGGGATAACACACATTCTTATCTGAATAAGTACGTAAAAAGAGAAAAATCATCAAGAATGGCTTGACTTCCTAATGATCTATATTTATATAAGAATAGCGAACGTCTATTCTGTTAATTCAAACAGTAGGGTTAAGACAAAGTTACATGAGTATTTCGTCTTAATGAAATCGCTCGATTTTCTTTTAGAAAATACCGCCCGGTATTTTAAAAGATATTATTTTTACTAGAATTAGTAAAAAAGTATTTAGAAGGGATAACACAAATTCATATCTGAATAAGTCCATATAAACAAAAAAATCATCAAGAGTCGTTCGACTTCCTAATGATCTATATTTGTGCAAGAATAACGAACGTTTATTCTGTTAATTCAAAACGTAGGGTCATAAAGACAAGATTAAATGAATATTTCGTCTCAATGAAATCGCTCGAGTTCCTCTTAGAAAATATCGCCCGGTATTTTAAAAGATACTATTTTTACATAGAATTACTGCAAAAGTATTCAGAAGGGGTAACACACGTTCTTCCCTGTATAAGTCAAAACAGAACAATCATCAAGAATCGCTCGACTTCCTAATGATCTATATTTATGCAAGAATGAGGAACGTCTATTTTGTTAATTCAAACAATAGGATGATAAAAGACAAGATTAAATGAATATTTCGTCTCAATGAAATTGCTGGATTTTCTCTTAGAAAATACCGCTCGGTATTTTAAAAGATATTATTTTATTTTATCACGATTTTTTCAAATGCAAGAAATATGACGACGACAGCGATGTTGTATAATACGATATCCAAACAAACTTTATTTATGGGATATTTCGAGGGAACACATTAATGCTTTGTTGATGTTAACGAATATAAAATATGCTTAGAATGTAAAATATTGATTGGTAAACAAACCAAAACGAATTATTATAATTATAATAATTATAATTACTTTAAAATATAATTGCATTGTTTTATAAAATAAAGTAGTTTATTTTCGATATTCAGATATTATGTTAATGATGAAATATAATAACAGCCTACCTATTGATTCTTCGTCAGAGCTATACTCTTTTTATTTGTTCCTGTAAGTATTTTACCTAACTGCCTTAGCAACTTTATTTGCACTATTTTTATCCCGATCTTAAGAAAAATGAGCGCGTTTTAGCATTTTTAATTTTTAAATTCACTTTTAAATATAATTTAGTCCATTGCTGATAAGCACGAAAGAAGGAATGATATGCAGGTTTGGTATACGATAGGAGCAGTGAATATGGGGCATTTTGTTCACTCTAGAAAAAATACGTGCTAATGAATAGGTTTCAAGGAAACTACAATGTAATTATATCAAGGACAAGCGAAGGAAAATACTGAGTATGCGTATTGCGCTTAATTCGTTTTTAGACATTGCTGCGTCGATTATTAATGATTAAATAAGCCCGGGTTAATTACTGATGTTGAAATTATTTCTTGCTTAATTTAATAAATAAAGCGTGTAGAAATAAGAGTATTTTTTCGTTGTTACTAAATTGGCATTTCAAAGTTTTAAACTGAGTCGAGAGTACCTTAACTGCGTCTTTGTTAAATTAACAATAAATATATTTTCCGATGACGAATGAGTAATTAGGATTAAAAACAATTTTTATACAAAAAAATTGGATAATATGTGAAATAGTAGTATCGTAAGAATAATATGAAATTTTGGATTATTGGTCTCTTTCTTTTTTTTTTATCGATGAGTTTCATTTTCAAGCAATGATATCAAGTTTTTTAGCGAAAATCAGGTTCTATAAGGAGATGAAGTCTATTGTTTTATTTATTTTGACGTAATAAGGTAAAGTTGGATAATAGAACAACTTATTGTGTAGTTACTAGTCATTACAAGTACCATGGGTCCATCCTGTATAAGAACAGTTTAACATTTAGTTTTCTTTTAGGAAGAGGCGAAAGTGTTTACGATTTCTATACTCACAAAAATCCTGAGAAATTCGATAATTCAAGTAATGGAGATATAACCTGCGATTCTTACAACCAATGGAGGAAAGATGTAAAATTACTAATAGAATTAGGCGTAGATTTTTATAGATTTTCAATTTCATGGTCCAGAATTCTTCCTAACGGTTACGCCAATAAAATTAATCAAGCAGGTGTTAAATATTACAACGATCTCATAGACGAATTGATTGCTAATGGTATGTATATTACATTTACATTTTAAGCGAAATCTAAACTTTCTTTAATAACTTGTTGAATAACAGTCTTATATAACAAAAAATAAATCAGGAGATTTAAGTCTAGCATATAAAACGTCACGATATTTCAAAACTAATTTGTATTTATTAAATTCCTTGGAAATTATTTTTGGACCTCCAAAGTGAAAACAAATTATATAAAAAATTCTGCTCTTATCCATGTTATACGCACAGCGTTCGCGCTCTGTCCAACTGAACAGTCAGGACATAATTCACCAAATTGTTTAGAAGAATATAAGATTTCGAATACAACCTCGTTGACAGAAAATTGAAAATTTTTCAACAAACTACTAATCATTTTTTGTTAGTTTATACTCTTCTGGAAAAACAATGTTTCTTCTGCTCATTTACGGAAGCGTGGCAACTGTAGATTGACTAAGCTAAACAGACGCAGTTGATAGTATATGATGTGGCCCATCTTGGCCTATTGAGAAATTTTCCACTTCCCTTGTATCCGCTACATGGTTGTGTGTCCCACTTCTTTTTATTACTGCATGTTCTAAGGTTATAACACGAGCTTTACACTTAAACTTCTTCTAATAATCACTTTTCCAATAAATGTTTTGATTTTCTTTATCTTTCTGGTAAATATAACCGTCGATCAATAATTTACTCTTCCCTTTCTCACTAAGTACAAACTCCAAAGCCATTTTGCGTCGTGACTCTTGCTCAGAGCAATAGAAACCTTTAGTGGAGTATGTGGTATTTATATGAATTAAATAATGACTTATTGTTTATTGTAAACAACATTTAAAAATCAATTAGCGGGATACAATTCCAATGTAAATACCTACCTGGAGACGTTCAATAAGTAACCTTAAATATTATAGTATTAAGACTAATGGGGTGTACTTATTGTTCATTCTAAACAACATTTAAAAGCCAATTATGGTTACATTAGGATGTTATTTATTAAGAGGGATTACAAAATTTTTAGCGAAAAAGTACAGCATGTACATGTGCCGAAAATATTGGTTATAAATCGCTGTCTATATATATAAAATTGTTTGTACTGACTGACACTGACTGACTGACTGACTGACTGACTGACTGACTGACTGACTGACTGACTGACTGACTGACTGACTGACTGACTGACTGACTGACTGACTGACTGACTGACTGACTGACTGACTGACTGACTGACTGACTGACTGACTGACTGACTGACTGACTGACTGACTGACTGACTGACTGACTGACTGACTGACTGACTGACTGACTGACTGACTGACTGACTGACTGACTGACTGACTGACTGACTGACTGACTGACTGACTGACCTGACTGACTGACTGACTGACTGACTGACTGACTGACTGACTGACTGACTGACTGACTGACTGACTGACTGACTGACTGACTGACTGACTGACTGACTGACTGACTGACTGACTGACTGACTGACTGACTGACTGACTGACTGACTGACTGACTGACTGACTGACTGACTGACTGACTGACTGACTGACTGACTGACTGACTGACTGACTGACTGACTGACTGACTGACTGACTGACTGACTGACTGACTGACTGACTGACTGACTGACTGACTGACTGACTGACTGACTGACTGACTGACTGACTGACTGACTGACTGACTGACTGACTGACTGACTGACTGACTGACTGACTGACTGACTGACTGACTGACTGACTGACTGACTGACTGACTGACTGACTGACTGACTGACTGACTGACTGACTGACTGACTGACTGACTGACTGACTGACTGACTGACTGACTGACTGACTGACTGACTGACTGACTGACTGACTGACTGACTGACTGACTGACTGACTGACTGACTGACTGACTGACTGACTGACTGACTGACTGACTGACTGACTGACTGACTGACTGACTGACTGACTGACTGACTGACTGACTGACTGACTGACTGACTGACTGACTGACTGACTGACTGACTGACTGACTGACTGACTGACTGACTGACTGACTGACTGACTGACTGACTGACTGCATTTTAAGGGGGAAAATGGGGGGTAAAAATTTATTTGGAAGTATCCATGTTTTTGGTTCTCTTTAAAGTTAAAAACATGAAAATTGGAATTGCAGCTACTGAGTACTAATTAACAATAATGTGTTTTAGGGATTTTATATTTTTACATCTTGAGGGGGGCAAACAGGGGCAACAGTGTGTATGGGAGTATAACTTTTTTTGTTCTCTTTCAAGTTAGAAACATGAAAATTGGAATTGCAGCTAATGAGTACAAATTAATAATAACGTGTTTTTAGGGTTTTTGGATTTTCACATTTTAAGGGGGGAACGGGGGGGTGAAAGTTTATTTGGAAATATCGAGTTTTTTTAAAGGTGGGAATTTGAAAATTGGAATTGTAGGTTCTCATAATAAATAATGAGGTGTTTCATGGTTTATGGATTTTCACATTTTAAGGGGGGAAAACGGGGGTGAAAATAAATAAAAATTATTAAAAATAAATAGAAATTAACAAAAATTAATAAAAATTAATAAAAATTAATAAAAATTAATAAAAATTAATAAAAATTAATAAAAATTAATAAAAATTAATAAAAATTAATAAAAATTAATAAAAATTAATAAAAATTAATAAAAATTAATAAAAATTAATAAAAATTAATAAAAATTAATAAAAATTAATAAAAATTAATAAAAATTAATAAAAATTAATAAAAATTAATAAAAATTAATAAAAATTAATAAAAATTAATAAAAATTAATAAAAATTAATAAAAATTAATAAAAATTAATAAAAATTAATAAAAATTAATAAAAATTAATAAAAATTAATAAAAATTAATAAAAATTAATAAAAATTAATAAAAATTAATAAAAATTAATAAAAATTAATAAAAATTAATAAAAATTAATAAAAATTAATAAAAATTAATAAAAATTAATAAAAATTAATAAAAATTAATAAAAATTAATAAAAATTAATAAAAATTAATAAAAATTAATAAAAATTAATAAAAATTAATAAAAATTAATAAAAATTAATAAAAATTAATAAAAATTAATAAAAATTAATAAAAATTAATAAAAATTAATAAAAATTAATAAAAATTAATAAAAATTAATAAAAATTAATAAAAATGAATAAAAATGAATAAAAATGAATAAAAATGAATAAAAATGAATAAAAATGAATAAAAATGAATAAAAATGAATAAAAATGAATAAAAATGAATAAAAATGAATAAAAATGAATAAAAATGAATAAAAATGAATAAAAATGAATAAAAATGAATAAAAATGAATAAAAATGAATAAAAATGAATAAAAATGAATAAAAATGAATAAAAATGAATAAAAATGAATAAAAATGAATAAAAATGAATAAAAATGAATAAAAATGAATAAAAATGAATAAAAATGAATAAAAATGAATAAAAATGAATAAAAATGAATAAAAATGAACAAAAATAAATAAACATAAATAAAAATGAATAAAAATTTAAAAAAAATGAATGAAAATCGATAAAACTAATAAAAATTAATAAAAAGGGAGGTCATGTATTTTTTTATATTAATAACATGACAATATGCGAGCAAAGTCGCGAGCAAAGCCGCGGGCAATAGCTAGTCCGTTATAAATTTATAAAGTTGCGCTAAAATACATTTTTCGGTTAATTCTCCTTTCGGGAAATTGTCTATTCGGTCAATTGTCCATTCGATCAATTTTGTATCGGAAAATTGTCCATTCAGGCAATTGTCCATTCGGGCAACTGTCTTCGGGGAATTGTCTTTCGGGAAATTGTTTTCAGGCAATTGTCCGGATACCCTGATCAGTATCATCTGCACAGGGCCGCGGAGAGCCAGGTCGAGCCCTGGGAAAATTTTCCAGGTCGGGCCCCGTAACAATTTTATAAAAAAATTGGGCCGTTTCAATATCACATTTCTAAAAAAAAAATACGCGTGGCACTCGGGGACTGCCGCGGTAAAGCTATTGCATAGCATTTTTTATCAACTTATGCAATTATAATTATTTATTTTATTTATTCAGTATTTTTTTTTCTTTGATATTAATTCAAGTTTTTTCTTTGATATTAATTCAAGTTACACTTGTTGAGCGTGGTGACCGATAAGAAAACAATTTTTTTCTTTTATTAAATAAATGAGAAGTTAATATTGTTTAAAACATTTTTATTATCTTACAATACATGTGGGTTATTCAGGAATTTTTATCATTGAAACTATAGGTTTATGGTAACTGAAATAAGAAACATAAGTTTGAGACTTGATATTCTCTAAATATCTGGAAAATACCGCGTCAGTGGTGGTCCCATATTTTGTTGTGGATTCTTGTGGATCATTATTCATTTTCAAATTCAATTTTTCTGAAATTGTCTCTAAAAGAGATAGAATCAGTTATGAGCAGTTATCAGCTAGTCTACACGCATACGTCTAGTCGCACGCACACAAACACCGCACCGTGACGAAGTCTGCCGAACTGAAACGATGTTAGACGATGCACGGTTTATTTTCGTTATTTTCTTGAATTAAATAATATACCTTAAAATTTAAAATGCTATAATTTTAATTTTTTTACCGATTATTCAAACTATAATAAACAAAATTACCTAAATAAATTTTCAAAATTTTGTTTGTTGTTAAGTTTTTTTTACGTTATAACAATATGCTTCCTACGCGCGTGTACTTTTAGATAGAAGTACTTCTCTCTAAAAGTACAATTAGAATTTTGGTCAATTTTGGATTTTAAAAAATTCATAACAATTAAAGGGTTGAAGATAAGAAATATCATAAAAAATATAAAAAAAGTTAATTCATTTCAAAAAATGCATTTTTTCTGGCTTAATTAATTTTTCGTTGTTTAAACAATAACATCAACAAATATCGAGAGTCATCTTACACTTTTATAATCAGGAAAGCCTTCCGGACATTTTAAAAAAAAAATACGAATTAAAACAATTTTGCAAACGAATGCGCCAGTATGCTCTGGTCTATATCCTAGTTTTCGGACCTATAACTGATTGTTTACTTATATAAAGTTCTATTTATTCAACATAATCTCTTTTATGACTTTAGACATTTAGCACAACGTTCATAAAGCAATTTTCTAAAAAAAATGCTTTGTTTTTGTCTGCTGTAGAGATGTTCAGCAGTATGGAACCGCTAAACTCCCCCTATTTTGTACAAGTTTTAGGACAAATGTTTATTAAGCAAATCCTACTTTCATAGTTTTCATAGTTCTATCAGTCGTGTCATTTATGACATTTTTTTTTTAGGTACTGATTTACTTAGTTTTTGACAAAAAAGACTCTTCTAATGAGCACTGGCCATATAATTTTTTTTTTTTTAGGAATTCAGCCAATGGTGACTATAAACCACATGGATCTACCAATGTCTTTGCAACATCTAGGAGGCTGGACTAATACTGTAATCTCCGATCATTTCATGAACTACGCTAAAATTTTATTTGAAAACTTTGGAGATAGAGTGAAACACTGGATAACAATAAATACAACTTCTATGGGTTACAATGATGACATTTTTCCTCCTTATATGAACCAGCCTGGTATAGCGGACTATCTAGCTATCCGTGTTATGGTTTTATCCCATGCCAAGGTTTACAGACTTTATCAGAAGGAGTTCAGTGAGCAAAAAGGTTAATATAAAAATATGTTGATCCGTCCTAAAAAAAATGAATGTGGGGCAGTAACTGCTACCCAGCGCAAGCTAGGTTTAGGCGTTTTTACGCCTTTAGAATTATACAACATACCCAAGTAACACACAAAGTTATAAAATGTTGGTATAATTGATTAGAACGTTACAAAACCCACGTAAACGACACGTTAAATAACTTAAATTTTTATAACTGATATAAAACTTTTTAATAGTGTAAAAACTAATAGTACGTTTTTGTTAGAAATTGTTGAGCAAAATTTAACTAGAGTTGTAACAACGTTAATTTATAAGAAACGTATAACTAAATTAAGTTGTTTTATAATGTACAATATATGTAGTTGCTATAACGTTTCTATAACTTTTAAATTACAGCTACTTTTAATACATACATATATTCACTTAATTAATAATACAGTTGTAATATCGTTGTAAACTGTAGTTACTATTAGGTTTATCCAGAAAATTATTATATGGTTAATAAAGCTAATACAAACTGCTTCAGTGGTTCTTTTGTTTTAAATTATATCATACACTGTTACTATATAACTTTTACAGTGGTTAAATGTGTTTATCTACTCCTATTAATTTATATATTAATTATTCTACTGCTTTTGAGCAATTAATAGTATCAATAAACAAATAGCGTGAGTTTTAACAGTGAGTTACAGTTCATCAAATTTCTAGAGGCTTTCGACGGCTAGACAGAGAAAGCACTACTGACAGGCATCCCGACGGATTTACGCAATGAAAGTACACTCTGCGCATCAAGTATTTCACTATTTCATTCAGACGTAAATGTCAGATGTAAATTTCGCTAAAACATTTCTTTTATTTTCGTTTGTGTTTTTTGCTCATTACAGTTTAATAGAACCTAAGTATGGAGTTTAATAGCAAATTAAGAGGCCGCGTGATTAACAGTCAATCTCGCGAAATAATAGCCAATGTTATAGAGTTTATGAGAAGAGAAGGAAACTTTAATTCACCTTCAATACCATTTAAAAATGTAAATGATCGTGTTGCTGCAGCCACAGGAGTATCTAAAAACACTGTCGTCCACATTTCTGGAGAGAAAAAAAGAATCGATAACCGTGAGATATCGGAATTTTCATCACCAAGAAAAACCATTAAAAAACCAAAATCAATAGTTAATGATATAGATGAAGCTGCACAAGAATCAAATTTTATTTTTAGATAGCTATTTTTGTTTCTGAGTTGTGTTCATTTACAGGCTCAATTTTTTTCCGTTTCTCCTTTTTGATTTTATATGGGGTTTCAAGTTGTTTTTGACTTATTTCGACGTAAATCACAACAACACACTTTTTTAATAAAGCAAACAAGTGTTAAGAGGTATATGTACGTGTAAACTACAATTACAAAAAATTGATATGAAACCCATGAAAACACCAACAAAAATGTAAAGCTAGCTTCCGTACTAGAACATGGTGTCATTCGTCGAGATAATTTATCGTTTTGTTTAATAGATCAAGAAATGTAAATATTCCCCTGTTATTTTTTATAAAATTATAAGAGAAATACATTTTTTTTCTAAATAGTATAGTTTATTATTTTATAGAAAAACAAAATTTCGAAAATTTTAGTAATGTTTCAGAAACAACCGTTATTAATAATAGGTACCATTTTCCTTAATAAGGTAGAAATAAAATATAAACTATTTCCACGATTTACAAAGGCCTACAAAAAAATTATAGGTATTTTCCGCTATCCTATAAAATTTATATTTTCTGACTCAATTTCAAAAGGTTGAAGGAATTCCAAAACACCTTTTATGGCATAATAATTATTTTCAATTCTACATACTATCTTTAGCTGCTTTTAAAAACGTTCTAAGAAAGTCCAATCAGACCAATTTAATTCCTAAACTATTCCACACTTTTAAAATTTAATTACCTAAAAATATTAAAAACTATTTAAAATAACTTGTTTAGCAGACTGTACAATAGCTATATCTTAGTCACACGTAGCGCGTTCTCTGTCTGGGCGTCGAACACCTCTAGAAATTTGATGAACTGTAATATAACTCACGCTGGGCTCCTATGATAAATCGGTATGTAAATAGTGTGCCTAGTAAATTCTTGGAAATTTTAAAGCCGATTAATACGTTCCATTAGCGTAAAATGTTAGAAAGATTTTTTAGCAACTGGTAAGGACTGAATAATTAAAAGATTTTAAAATTATTAAAACAATGCCTCTCAGTAGGCGAAACAGTCAATTATTAGCTCAGGAAATTATTAGACATTCCAAACAAATGAATTGCCAGTGGGAAGGTTTGGTATATCTAAGGGTGGCGACATACGGTGTATTCTATCTACTTTACGTAAATGCATGAATAATGGATTACATTTAAATATTTTATGTCAAACTCAATAAAAATAATATTTAAAAAGCCCACCTATACATTTCTTCATAAATTGGCAGGATTGGCGACTACTACTTCGAATAAAAATAGCGTCCAAGTTGCAAGACTATGTCGCTACCTCCTTAGATATACAAGAATTTCCCACTGGCACCTATTGTTTGACAGGTCGTTGGAATGCCTAATTATCATTGAGGGGAGTAATGTCATTTGATATTTTAACAAGATAATTTTGACGTTTTCAAATTAATTTCTAATAATAGTGCTAAAAAAAGATGAATTTAGATAGTGAAGATAAGTTATTATGTACACCTCCAGAAATAAGAGAAGTAGCTAATAATGCAATACAGAATTTCTTACTATAAAAATCAGAAAATAAGTATAAAGGTAAATAAAAAAATTTCAAGATTGGTGTAGCAATAAGAACATTAACTCGTGTACAGAAAATGAACTTTTAGTATTTATTGTTATAGTCGTAGATAAAGTATAGTATTCAACTTGCGGTAATGGTTATAACTCACTTGATGAATTCATCTGCGTGAGTTATGACCTGCATTACCGCTCGTTAAATAATATACTAATATTATTGCATTCCTAGAATGTATCTTTCTTAGGTTAGGAGTAAGGAATAACTGCTTTATAAAGTTTAAAAGAGAATTAGCATGTATCCGAAAAAGAGGTGGCTCTTATAGATGTAAAAAACTATTTAAACTGGACGCATCAAAGTACTTCAAGAAATAAAAAATTTTGTGAACATTTCAAACACAGATCCGCAGTACTTACATATACAATAAATCCATCCGTTGTTTTCAACAGTAATATTCGTAATTGTGCTTCTTGCAATAATAATTTAGTTATAAAAAGAAACAACTAATAAAGAGCAAGATATATTTCAACAGAAATTGACATGAAAATAGGGACCAATAATAAAAGTATGGGCAATAACAAAAAATAAAGTAGGTTACTTACCACATAAAATTGTAAATAAATTAGTGAGATTAATTATATGCACAATTAAAATTAAACAACTATCAAAAGATAGAAAAATGAACATAGTTTTTAAGGGACCAGAACCCAATGGTATATTATTATTTAAAAACGCTATGGCTGAAAACCATGTTTTGCAAATAATACGTACTTTTCATTTTATCCTATCTTTATTAATCCTTGCAAACCAATAATAGAAATAATTGAAATACTCCTAAACGATTGCATAACCTATAAATAGTATATTACATTACGAGTGTGGAAAATCACTTTTCACACAAGTGATGTACAATATTTTTCCTACGACCACAAAATAATGTCATCAAAAAAATGTAAAACCAAGGTTATTATTACTATAATAATTCAAATGTAATTAAAAAAATAATCAACAAAAATCGTATTTATTCAGTTTTCATATTTTCTAAACAAAAAAAAAACTAAAAAAAAAAATAAAAAAAAATCAAATTTTAATGTTGAAATACATGGTCAACCTTCTTGATGAAACAAAATTTGATTTTTCTCGAAAACGGTCGACTTTAAAGCGTATGACCAAGAGTACCTTTTTTGTGTAGAAAACATTGGCGGTTCAAATGGGCGTCTCAAAACCGTACTTTTTCCAGTGGGGTAGAATTATTTTTTCAATTTCAACACCCTGTATCTCGAAAACGGTGCATTTTAGAGGGTAAGTTAATAGAAACGTTTTTTCATATTTTTGGACGAGCTATCACGTCCTGAAGTACTGCGCATATATTATGAAACACCCTGTATAATAACGGTATAGTGTATTAGAATATGTAAGTTGTTGAGTTTTAAAAAACGTTGTTGCAACGTCGGTACAACCCTTATATATATTTTTGTGTTACTTGGTTAGTACCTTTATTTTCTATAATTCCTTTATTTACAAAAGACCTACATAAATTAATTGGCTCTGTCACAAAATAGCGCTAAACGAAATAACGCTAATCAAAATAGCGACTACTCTAAATGCGCAGAAGAGCGTCAGCAAAACAGCGCCCGAACGAAACAGTGCCAGGCTGGCAAATTAAGAAAAGGAAAATAATGTGTCCAAGACAAAAATAAAATAAATAAATAAATAAAAGCCATATGCCACACAAAATACGAGCGACTGTTTCCCTGCGGAAAACAACTACTTTTTTGGCTAATACCACAACAGGTATTGTTTTTGATTTGATTTTGCTTACTAAGGAGAACGTCATTCTTCGACCGGTTTCGTTCTTCAGCAAGAAATAGATGGTTTTCAATTCCAGTCTCTAATGGAATTAACGAAGGCAACACATTCACTAGTATACATTAATGCTGGTTGTGAAGAAAAAAATAAAAAAAAAACTGGAATTGAGAACTATTTTTTGCTGAAGAGTCCTAATAAGAATGAAACCGGTTTAAAAATGACGTTCTCCTTAGTGAGCAAAATTAAAGCTAGGAGTGTTGAAATTAAATTTCTATCTCTGCTGTCTTTCCTTTGGATATAATTCAATACGAGATGTGGTATTAGCCAAAGGAGACGTTGTTTTTCGAAGGAAAATGCACGCTCGTATTTTGTGTGACATATGGCTTCGTATTTTATTTATTTTATTTTTATAGGGTTTGATTGCCCCCTCCCCCCATGGAAGCGACTTTTGAGTCTGATAGCCGGCGCAACTCAACCTAGCTACGCCACTGATGTCAATAATAATTCATAATTTTAGTATTTTTTTTTAGGAAAAATCGGATTAGTAGTAGATACCCGTTGGTTTGAACCAGTAAGTTCATCCGAAGAAGATATAAGAGCAGCTGAAATAGTTATGGAATTCGAGGTAAACAGTCTATATTATAAATATTATGTACCACATACACATTGTACATGTACATATATATTTCATGGTCCTTTGAATTAAAAGATCTTGAAGCACTCAGTCAGCTGCCTTTAAAATTTAAAAATATATATATAGTATACAATATATAGGGTGTCCGAAAACGTTTCGTTTACAAGTGAAGTCCTAATGGCATATTTTTGTAAATATTTTCTAACATTTTTTTAGTCACCGGGTTTCCAAAGTTAAAAAAAATTAAATTACTGATTCCACAGGCCTACTAATTATTGTTTACACTTTCGAATAAGATAACATCAACTTATCATGAAATTTTCAAATGCTTTTCTCTTGAAAATGGTGCGTCCTAGCGAGATTCAACAAAAGTAGCTTTATTATAAATAAAATATTGGTTTTCCAAATGTTGTAAAATGTTAAAAACAGTCAACAAAAAACTTAGGACAATTTAACTCTAAGCCCCTTCCCTAATTTACCCACCCATGAAGATGATCAAAAACTGGCGTTTAGTCCATTAAATAGAGCGTAAAAAGTTTAGCATTTGTACCAAATTTCACTTAGTTATCTTTAGAAGTTTAGAAAATATTTACAAAAATGTGTCATCAGGACTTCACTTTTAACACAGTGTATCACGGAAATAAAACGTTTTTGGACCTATGTTTATATAAACTTTTACTCCTATTTTAGGATGTAGATTACGCTGTTAAAATATGACCGTCTAATTTCGCGACACCCTGTATAACGTAAATTAACCAGATGAAACTATTGTCGAACCACATTTCAGAAATAAACCCTAACTGTGATTCTTCAAAATAACATCCCTATATTTTGTATAATTTTTGTTGTTATTTTTATGTCAAAGATGAATGTTGTTTATTTTAGACAGTTTGTCAGTGGGTTGATTTGGATTTGGATGATAATTTGGATAATAAATATCTTATCATATTCCTCAAACACGTCCCCATTCATCTCTTAGTGATAATTAACGGTATTTTTAAATTCAAATAAACCATCCGTACAACCTATAAGAGTAACAATTGGATTTTCACCTTTACTTGTAGCAGCAGTGAATCCTGGTAGAAACGCTTCTCGGGATGTATTTATGTTTGTCTTTCCAAACTATTACTACACTATGTCCTACAATAACTCTCATTTCGTCTAAATAATAAATCTTATATTTTGCCATAATTTGGGTTATTATTTCTAGCTCGTCTCTTCTCCAACATACAATGTCTTCGGAATCAACTAGCATTTTTTCATACTAAAGGTTTTATTTATGTAATATTTTCTGCAGTTTATCTCTTCCTATTGTGGTTGGTATTTAAGAAAAAATGAGTGTACCATCTTACAAATAACATTTTTTAAAAATTCATCCACCTTCACGTTTACTAACTTTGTTTGCTTTGGTCTTCCTGATTTTGGTTTTGGTAAGATTACATCACCTGATTGTTCCTCCTTTAAAACTCCATAAATAGTAGATTTGACATAGGTACCCAATTACTTTAGATGAAATTTCAACTACTATTTTTTTATTGTCTAAAATAGTTGAAAACATTCAGTACAACCGTGTTTTCATTAAAGTGATCAATAATTATCTGATTATCTACAAACTATGACATTGAACAAAATTTATTCATTTTTATAAAAATACCCAAGGTTATACCAATGTTTGAGGGAAATCCCACTTAAACGAAGAAGATACCTAAGTTTTATATGATGTAATATGATTTGCTTCAAAATCTTATTAGAATTATCTCCTTCTCTTCTTCTAATAGGCTAAAGGGAATTAAGTGGCTTAAATTTACCCCGTCAGCACAGGGCTTTAGTCCCATGGAGTATAATGACAATAGAAAGCAATAATCAGGATCTGGGATCCCTGGCAGGAGCACGCATTTTTCTTTTTTTCTCAGCTTTCTCAATTTTTCTTTGATTTGTTTTTACTTTGGGACAATGGGGATCGATTACTTAATTTAGTAGGGGAATAGGGGTTTTCATTTTTACATTTCCAGCTCACACATTTTCAGACTTTTAACTGATATATTCTCTCCTTTCTTTCAAAAAGATATTCTCGTTAGGGTGTAGGGTGATAAAATTAAGTTTGGTAGAATGTTGAGATACTGCAAAACAATTAGAAAGTAGTAATCAAATAACGAAACCATTTTTCAATTTTTTTTAGGTTGGCATTTATCTGAATCCGTTTTTTCATCCAAATGGAGATTTTCCTGAGGTAGTTAAAAAAAGAGTGGAAATGATTTCAAAAATCGAAGGATACCCACAATCGAGACTTCCTTCCTTTACACCAGACGAAATAGATTTTATCAAAGGCAGTTGTGATTTTATAGGTACCAATCTATACACATCATTTTTAGTGGAAAATCGTGAAGATTCATTATTCAATACTACTTCAATTCAGAGAGATGAAGGCGCTAAAGTATTTCAAGATGCCTCGTGGAAAAAATCGGCTTCTGATTGGCTAACGGTAAGGCTTTGCATTTTACACTCAAATAAGACTAAAAACTTTTGAGAAATAGGCTTCTTATAGGGCTGGGCCAAATGGTCAGAACACCAGATTTATGGCTTTACTGGATGAGTAAAAAAATGCTCGGAAAGGTCGGTGTTGTTTCTCAAATGTGAATTTGTTGACGTAAATAAATTTTTAATGACGTCATTACTATTCGAAATATGACATCATGCCAGTTTTTTTTATGACATCCTCTTTTGATAGTACCAAATAAAAGAAAACATTTTTTTGGTTAACGACACTATCCTCTAACGTAAAAAAATAAGAAATATACCACCAACTCATGAGGATAAGTAAGTTCCTCAGAAACTGATTCCAATTCCATCTAGTGGGAAAACATTGTTAAGTAATAATTTGTCATATTCATATTAATACTATTTAAATTTTTATATTGAAAATGTGGTAAATGAAGATTAAAAATCAACCTGTTCAAAATTGAATATAAATATCTATGCAAAACTTGTGATACGTCTTCTTGTATTACTTCTGGTGAAGTTGAAGTCGTGGGTGGTGCCAGGCTGTTATTTAGAATAAGGGTTGCCCGAGCGCCAGTTTTGATAACACAGTTTGCTCTGCGAACCTCCAGTACACCTAAAGTTCACTCAAAGTAGCCCCAATGGAGTAAATAAATTCCAGGTGGTCACTTAAGGTAGTACCTGAAAGAACCTTAATACCGGTAATACCCGCCTTATTCAAATGTAAACGGTGTAATCACCTTATACCTTTTACCATAAAGGTGATTCTGGAAGAATTAGATAAAAAGGAGGGTATAAATAAGAGAAACATTGGAAGTTTATACAAAATAATTAATTTAAAACAGTAACCACGGTGGAGCAATACGATACCCAAATCATACTTCATTTACAATCAATTGTTAAAAAAATAAGGAAATAAATATAAATCAGTAACACGGATGCTCTTAAGTCAAAATCTCTAAGTTAATTAACAGGATAATTAATCGAAAAATGTTCATATATAACAAAATTAAAATATAATTACAAAAATTAAAAACTTTATGAAATTAGTTTATAGATAGGTTAATATTAAGTTTTTAAGGACACTTGGCTAATATAAAATTAAATGCCAAACAGACGCGCTTGTGCGTCGTCAGCACCCAGCTACAAATTTTCACTCCAGGTGTTGATGGACGCGTATACGCATCTTAACTTTTTTAAAAGAATATATTTTATTGTTGAACATACATAGAATATAAAAATATAAAAATTTTTAAAAAGAAACACATTTTGGTATGGAAAAATTTAAAAACTATAAAACGAACACATTCCGTCATCAAAAATAATTTAAATAAAGTTCTTTTTCAATGTCAGAAATTAACAATAATTCTTCTAAATTATCCTCAGTTAATGAATTATGCTTATTTTTACTAATTTTAATCCGTTTTGGCTACGAAGGGCCTGCTTCAGAATCACTATCGAACTCAACTAAAACACAGAAATTAAAAACGGCTGCTAAGGTTCGGTAATTCTATTCTTTCTGCACGTGCTACACCTGCTTACAACCGCTAAACACTCGTGCTAATAGAATACTAACAGACAACAGATAAACCGAACTAGGACGGGTATGCGCGTCGTTAGCAGTAGACATGTTTTAATTAACAGTATAATCAACATATCGGAAGTAATTACAAAAGCAACAGGTTGAATGCAACTAATGTCATTCTAACATCCTAAATATTTCAATCGGTATTACTATCGAAAAGCAATAATTCTCGCGATAAATTAAAAAAACCGGCGCTAGCTGAACTGTGACAGCCCCGGGATTATCGGTAGGATTTTCGAAAAAATTAAATTTTACAAATTCACCTATTTTAATTGTCGATCCACGATTAAAGGATTATTTTCAACAGGATGCGGTTTAATACAGTTGATACAGTGACAGATAAGAGAACAACGTTATCTCGTGATCGACGGTATGTAGTGAATTAATTAAAGATTTCACTGATTGACGAAGTAGTGAAGAGTCTATTGACCCGAGGCACCTTGGATGTTGAGAAATTAAGACGGTAAAATAAGTCCGACCACCAGAGTGGCTTCGCTTACGTAACTTTGGAAATCACAAAACGGTATTCCGTAAAAAGTTGAGAAATTCATTTCCTTGGACTACGAAACTTGTACTTCGACTTTAAAAAAATTCCCTCGTTGAAACCAGCCTTTGCGATCACTAGCCTCTCCTTTCAGAACTAGTAAATACTAATTTTCTCGGACTATAACAAATTATTTATTTGCTAATATTTAACAAGCCACAGTCGACCCAGAGAATAACGATTTAAATCCTTAAGCTAAAGACTAATGGTGGAAGATTCCTACCTATTTTCCAGTTTTCACAGACGGTGAAGTTTAAACAAAAGTATCGACGATATTATTGTATTCGACGGTATTAAGTAAATTCGGAAACTCGGCTCTGAAAAAGAGCGGAGATGAGAGAGCGGGAATTTGCGGGGATCTCAGCTTTATACTTTACGCTCGGAGTAGTTCGGTTTACGAGTGGTTCGGAGTGGGAGTAGCCAGTGTTTACAAATCGGAGGACTAAAAATATAACCTTTTGACATTTGCGAAAATGATCAGATAATTCATCTTAATTTAAACGTTTAAAGCTGGTTTCGAATTTCGATAAAGAATGATATATTTTGAACTACGAGGGTTCTCGCAAATGTTCAAAAACGGGAATTTTTAAGAAATAAAACAGGCAGACATTAATTTGAACTAACATTTTTATAACTAAATGATGGTAAAATTTAGTATATTTGTCACAAACTTTATAGACTGTATAAAACCATCGAATATTTTTAACAAATTTTAGGTTTATCCAGAAGGCGCGCAGAAGGCATTAAGGTGGATTAAAGAAAAATATAACAGTCCTGAAATAATTATAACAGAAAATGGTTTTTCTGACTTAGGAGGAATAAATGACGATGACAGAATCGATTATTTACGGGTAAATATACGTTTTTATTCAGAGATATCACAGCGGATACGGTATTAAAATATGTTTTCCTACGACCACTTAATTAGGAAAGTGACACATATCACACTATATAGTCCTATGGAAAGTGCCCTATATCACACGCGTATGAATAAGAATTTACTTTCCACCCGCGTACGAATATGCTACTTTCCGCAGTAGCTGTCAGAAAATGTCAAACACATAATTTCTATTTTGATCTATGTAATGTCCATATTAATACTAAAATCGATATGATTGTTAAATTATTGAAATTGTTGTAAATTAGATCCTAGATATTTATCTTTAACAATTATTGTTAAAATAATTTTAAAATAACTAAGATATATTTACTTTTTATTCTGGTTAAACACATAAGCCATAAGATCAATCAATTACCGTAAGGCCTGTTAGCTCAGTTGATTAGAGCGTCAACTTTGCAATTTGAGACCGTCAAGCGACCGCGATCAAATCCTGGCTCTGCTAGAATTTTTTTATTTGTTTAGAAAATATGAAAATTGAATAAATACGATTATTGTTGTATTTTTTTAAATACATTTTAATTATTATAATAACCTGGTTTTACATTTTTTGATGAAATTATTTTGTGGTCGTAGGAAAAATATTGTACATCACTTGTGTGAAAAGTGATTTTCCATACTCGTGTGATAGTCGCATTCGGCTTGTGCCTCGTGCGACAATATTTCCCAATCGTGTGAAAAATGTCACTTTCCACACTCTTAATGTAATATACTATATTAATAAAATCATGACTAGATAGTATTGAATTATTAAACTCTACGTAACCTTTTGTGTTATAGACATATTTAAAAGCCATATTAAGAGCCATTTATATAGACAAGGTGAATGTTAGAGGATATGCCGTGTGGAGTTTAATGGATAATTTTGAATGGGCATCTGGTTACAGGTATTTTTTTTATAGTATACTTTTAATGACAATTTTCCCAATAGGTATTTCAGCTAGTTTTTGCTTAGGAATATTTCGGTTTTAACTTTTTATTAAAATATGCTTTTCATCAAATAAAAATTTTACCTCGTTAAATAACACATGGATAGCACCAGGATATAAACTTCAAAATCAGCAAAATGACTTTATAATTAAAGAAACACGAAGATATTTTAAAAATATACTTAAGAAACTAAAAGAAATTACGAAGAAAAGAAAAATACACAGTCTGTCCCAATGGGAAAAAAGACTGTATTTTTCTCCTCTCTTCGTAATCTAGTTAGGACCATTTTAAGATATCGATATTATTTGGAATTTAAAAGAAATTAGTTACTGTTGTCCATATTTGCTTGAAAGACAAATCAAAACAAAGCACATAATTCTAGTTGTAATATTGAGTAACTTTAACATTATCACAGTTACTACTCACAATTTGTAACTTTTATTTTATGAAATTAATAAATTTAAATGTTTTTTACAATAATTTGATATATTTTAGGGAAAAATTTGGACTGTACTCTGTTGATTTCAATGATCTTAGCAGACCAAGAACAAAGAAAAAATCTGCTACCTGGTACCAAAATGTTATAAAAGAGAAAAGAATAATGGATTAACTAATAAGAATACATTTTGAACAAATAAAGTTGATTTTGTAGATAATCTTTTTATTTTAATGTTTTTTCTATGAACTAACCTTGCCTCGATTTTTTTGCTATAAGCAAAAGTATTCCTTCTATTATTTCTGCCCTAACATTGTTTTATTAAAGAAACGACTACATCTCATCCATAATAGACAACAAAATTAACTTAGATCATACTATATGTTTATATCATATTTTAGAAATAAAAAAGGTCAAGGAATTACATCTTTCAATACAGAATATAGATCTCAGTACAGATTTAGATAAAAAACATTCAATATTTATAATATACATTTCTAAAACACTAAGTTTTTTCCTAAATCTGCACTGAGATGTATATAATGTCATTGTGAACCCCAATAATTTGGTCACAGGCCGCCACTGCTTCAATATTGAGTTGAAATTTGTATATGTTAGAGATTCACTAGTTGTACAAGATAAATTTGTAGTCATTATTCCCAAAGAAAATATAAACCCTTTTTTCTAATTTTGACATATAAAGTGACATTTTTTGTAATCGCAGCAAGTGTCAAAACGATCTACTTTACGCAAGAAGTCGCATAATGTTGAACATTATGAAACGTGTTTCTAAAAATTAATTATGTCACCAGTTGCAAAAAAAACAAATAAAGATAAATCTCTTTTTTGGTTTTAAAATCAATAATATACATTATTACTGAAAGTTTATATCAAAGAAGGGCAGATTGACTTACAACCTAGTAATAATATTGTTTTGGTCCTTATTTTTAATTCTAAATCAGCACAAAATAAATAAAACACAATACACGACAAATTAACCCACATTTTTGAAATCTAAATAACTTTAACAAACAATGTAAACACATTACAACAAGTCGTTGAGAATAAATTAATATTATTTTCTATTTGTCAATAAAGGAATGAAGTTAATCATATGAGACTAACAATACAAGAAAGTGGTAATATTGATTGCCTATCTGTCAGTAATTTTTATTCACACCACTGAACTATACAGGGTGTTAAAAAAAAGTGTCACAAAATGAAATGGTGAATAGTATGACCCAAAATAAGCAGAAAAGACTTAATAAATATATGACCGCAAATTAACTGTTTCGGAGATACGGACCATTTTGTGTTTATAACAATTTTTTATTATTATAAAAAAACAATGATATTTATAAACAATCAATAACAACATAGAGTTAAATGAGATGTTCAAAGTGCCCTCCCTCCATTTCAATGCATTGCCATTTGCACGACCGTACATAAAATGCATGTCAGCTAATTCAATATTAGTGTAAACAGGCATAACGAAAATTTATAAAATTATTCACCCACAACAAAATAATAACTGCAAATAGTATCTATGAAAAAACATCGGTAGACTCCGATAAGAAAAGCAAGTTTTTGAGAATGAAAAAAGAATCAAAAATGATACAAAACACAAAATCTCTGAAACCATTCATTTGCGGACATATATTTTGGCCCATACTACCCCCCCCCGTTTTATTTTGTGACACTTTTTTTAACACCCTGTATATTAAACTGGAAGAACAAAGCCGATCAACAAAATCAAGCCACATAGCGAGGTGTTATTTGACACTCTGGCGCCCACATGTGCGTATCGAAATACACTAAAAAAGAACATCAAAATTAAATTTAACACTTCTGGTGGTAATTCTTTCATTCAATACGTTCATTTTTAACGGGTGTTAAATTTTACGATTTTAACATAAATCGTAATTCTGTAAAAATAAAATTAAGGCATACGTTAAATTTACAGAAAAAATAAACATACGTTAAAAGTAGTTCAAATTTGCCATAAAAGTTTGGTTAAGTTTTAAAGTATGTCAAATAAATGTCATTCCTTTTTGCACAAGAATATTGAAAAAGTAGCGTCCGATTTTATTTTATAAACTATTTGGTAGGCCATCAATTTTCAATATAAACAAAACTAACCCCAGTAACCTTATAATAGTGCCCTTCTACGGCAAATCAATTACTAACTACAAAAAGTTTATATACACTCTAAAAAATATAATTTCTAAATAGAATTTGTGTAATTTTAACTATTCAAATTACTTGAGTACTTTAAAAATGGTTTATTTTCATTATAAGTTGAATTAAACATTCAAAAGTCATAATTTCTTATATGTCCTCAGACATCGCTTGTATTTGGAAGGTAATTAGTCGATATTTTATAGAAATGTTAGTTGGAAAGTTCTTTCGATCTAGGCAGTGTTGCCGAATGCTGAAACAGTACGGATGAAAAAAATAATACAGGGGGAAATAATTATAATTTGCAGTGTAGTAAATAAAAAAAACAAGTATATAAGAAACGAAAAATAAACATTTTTCTACCGAAATTAGAAAGTAAACAAAGAACAAAAACAAATGATAACATTTTTAATATATACTTAACGTACGGAAACAAAAAAAAAACAATGAAAAATAATAGGTACCTACTTCTTACACCATACACCATCATACAATGAATAACACAAGATATCGCTGTAAAAAAAATGTTAATAAAAAAGAAATAAGAAAATATATACTTTCTATTAGATTAGTATATAAAGATAAGAAAATTAGTAAATAAGCATTATATAATATATGCATGTTTGTTCTTATACAAACCTGAACCACATAAAATTGCAATCATGCATCGGCAAGATAAAGTTCAAATCAAAGTTAAATCATTAAACTGAAAAAATTGTGCTGGTATAAACCATACATATATAAGATAAAGGTGAGGTAGAGAATACTCAGTTTACTAAGTATTCATGTATAACAAAAAAGAGAAAAACAAACTGAAAATTTTTATACACAAATAAAGGGACTTTAGACACATATTTTGATATTTAGTAAAGCTCCCAAAAGAGGAAGGTGTTGATAAACTTACAAACTAAGACCCATTATTAAAATAAAAAAAATTATGAAGACAATTGAAATTTTGACTGGAGCCCTTAAAGACTAAAGATTTATAACTTAAACTAAGAAGATTTACTACTTAAGCTTTAATTGCTTGTTTAAGAAAATTTTGATTAAAATGAAAAAATTATTTTAACTTTAAATCTGCACTATTATACCATACAAAAGTCTCAATCAGGGAAAGATAAGATAAAGGTAAATGAAGGTAGATAAAGGTAAATGAAGGTAAATAAAGGTAGGTAAGGTAACTAGAAATAATGATCATTGAACTATATTTGCATACATGATAACTAAATAAAGGTGAACCATTTCAAATCAAAGGTAACTATCTTGATATTCAAAAAAACATAGTACATTATGTACTAAAGGTAAACATAATATCATTAAACGATAAATAAAACATTCACTCAACTAGTGAATAAAGATATATAATAATATTATACAAGATAAATTATGAAAATCAAGATAAATAATGTACACACATCAGTGAGTACATCAGGCAAGGTATACGAAACATCTTCGTAATGCTGTAAATCAGCAAAGGTATATACAAAGTAGTAAAGTTAGGTAAAAAAATTAAAGTAATACAAGTTATCTATCAACCTAAAGTTAACCCAAATATAAAGTTTTGCAATACTCAACTAAATTATTTTCAATATAAAGTGAAAACAGAGGTATCAAAAGATATTGCTAAAAGCATAAATTCTCAAATTATAATTGAAAAAAGAATAAAGATATACAAACTTTTACTACTTGTATTAAAATATAATTTAAACTTAGTTCGGAATCAAATAGTTATGCGATAGTGAGGTACTTAACCATATAAAGAAAAAAACATAAAATGCTAGATAATATAGTTCAAAGTCAACTTAGGCATTTTAAGATTGAATTTAAGGAAAAGGTAAGATTCAAATATCAAGAAAAAATTATAAATATATTTCTATACACTCTCCTAATTATGGTAAATGCAAACTGATGTTTCAGTTTCAAAAACTTGTACAGAATCATATTAATAACTGATAGATACAATGTTAACCAAGCAAACGAAAAGAAAAGAAAAACAAAATTTATTAATATAATTCGGACACTCTCCTAAATTGGTAATTGCAAACTAGATAATTTCAAATACTTATCCAAAATTATACTAACAAATAAAGAGAAATGTAAAGAGAAAATTATGTTAACTAGGAAATTAGGTAGAAAATACTAAGAGTAACTGAATACATATTACCAAAAATTAAGGTAGTTATTACAGACAGTATTGCTTTAAAAAATAAGCAGTAGCAGACAATCAAAAGTTAGAAGGTAATGTCTGGTCTGACTAACAAATATTCCGTTGGTGTAAAAGAAAACAACTGACTACAGACTGTACTACTTGATCGTGTAGGTAATAGCAGAATAAAATGCTAGATATAATATTCTGGCCTGACAGTATATATTCCATTGGTGTAATGGAAACAATTGACTACAGACTGTATCACTTGGTCGAGTAGGTAATAGCAGAATAAAAAGCTTGATATATTCTAGCCTGACAGTAGCTTTTATTATTCTGGCCTGACATTAAATATGAAAAATTTAGTAATATTTTAACTTATTAAAAGGAACGGTATAGACATCAAGACAATTGCAGAATATATTATTCACTATAAGAGGTATCGTTATTAACGTTAGGTATGACTTCATTATCATCATCTTCAGATAAATGTAAAAAGCAATATATTTAATTAATTAAAGGTACAAAGTTTTATCACTAACCAAAAAATTTTTTACTCGATAGGCACAAAAATCAACTTTAGGTAAAAATCCAAAAACTATACACTTTTATCAGTGTATAATGAATATATAGATATATCACTAGCAAAATAATAAATATGTGTAGATAAATATGTGTAAATATGTAAAAATATGTATAAATAAACACCGAAACTAGTAGAAAATGCAGATACTATATAAAACTTGACGATACGATACACAGATTTGTAGAAAATGTTAAAATACTAAGTAAGAAGGTATTAGTAAAAATAAAGAAGTCATGCATTTAGTATCGTTAATCTCTGTGAAATACCTATGTGAATTAGAACGATAAGTTATAAGGAATCTATTTCAAAG